TGTGTGTGCTTTATATTTTTTATGTGTTTTAACTGTTGATTCTCTGATCTGTGTTGGTGATTTCAATGGTTTTGTTAAGTCCTCTGAGATTACTTCTGTTGTGACTTAGGGCTATACAAGAATAAATTGTATTGTATTGAATACTGTATAACCAGGCCTCTGTTAAAGAGGTGATAATGGAAGAAAAGGAAATACCTCCGCCGTGGACAGAAAAGTCACAGCCAAAGAAATAATTCAATGGCAGCTCAAACGCACAACACGGAAAGAGAAGGTTTTCAGGGAGATCGCCCAGCTCTTGATTTGTGACTAGTCCGTGGTAATCCTGGAAATAACCGGTTAGCTACGTATCCCATTGGCACAAAGCTCTCGCTGAAATGTATTTACTCTTGTGAATGTTTGATTGTCTGTTGTACACAAGCTAAGCTAAAACGTCCTTCCTGTGCTAGTGTGCTCTATCTTGCTATTTCACGTGTTGCCATTCTGTTTTGTGCTTGTACTTAAGTTGCCGTGTGTATACAGTGGGGCAAAAAAGTATTTAGTCAGCCACCGATTGTGCAAGTTCTCCCACTTAAAATAATGACAGAGGTCTGTAATTTTCATCATAGGTACACTTCAACTGTGAGAGACAGAATGTGATTTTTTTTTTAATAATTTATATGTAAATAAAGGTGGAAAATGAGTATTTGGTCACTTCAAACAAGGAAGATCTCTGGCTCTCACAGACCCGTAAGTTCTTCTTTAAGAAGCTCTTCTGTCCTCCACCCGTTACCTGTATTAATGGCACCTATTTGAACTCCTTATCTGTATAAAAGACACCTGTCCACAGCCTCAGTCAGACTCCAAACTCCACTATGGCCAAGACCAAAGAGCTGTCGAAGGACAGGGAAGAGTGAATCTACAATAAGAAAGCAGCTTGGTGTGAACAAATCCATTGTGGGAGCAATTATCAGGAAATGGAAGACATACAAGACCACTGATAATCTCCTTCGATCTGGGGCTCCACGCAAGATCTCATCCCGTGGGGTCAAAATGATCATGAGAACGGTGATCAAAAATCCCAGAACCACACCGGGGGGACCTGGTGAATGACCTGCAGAGAGCTGAGACCAAAGTAACAAAGGTTACTATCAGTAATACACTATGACGCCAGGGAATCAAATCCTGCAGTGCCAGACGCATGTCCAGGCCCGTCTGAAGTTTGTTAGAGAGCACATGGATGATACAGCAGAGGATTGGGAGAATGTCATGTGGTCAGATGAAACCAAAGTAGAACTGTTTGGTATAAACTCATCTCGTTGTGTTTGGAGGTAGAAGAATACTGAGTTACATCCCAAGAACACCATACCTACTGTGAAGCATGGGGGTGGAAACGTCATGCTTTGGGGCTGTTTTTCCGCTAAGGGGACAGGACGACTGATCTGTGTTAAGGAAAGAATGAATGGGGCCATGTATCGTGAGATTTTGAACCAAAACCTCCTCCCATTTAGTTGAATTTGTGTTTTTGACCAAATACTTATTTTCCACCATAATTTACAAATAAATTCTTTAAAAATCCTACAATGTGAATTCCCTTGATTTTTTTTCACATTCTGTCTCTCACAGTTGAAGTGTACCTAAGATGAAAATTACAGACCTCTGTCATTATTTTAAGTGGGAGAACTTGCACAATTGGTGGCTGACTAAATACTTTTTTGCCCCACTGTATTTATTTGTTTGAGAATCCCTTCCCACAAGTGAGGAGATTACCAATGAGTGACCGGAGTACTTAACTTTCCCCTCACCTTTACTTTTGTTTTTAACAAATGTGTGATCGTAAGACTTTGTTTCATTAATTTGTCTGTACACATGCAGAAAAGGGGTTCAAAAGCAACAGTGAAAATTTCCTACCACATGCTTTTACTTCTATTTACATTACATACTGTAGGGTGAGAAAAGTCGATATCATACATAATTTAAATTATTTAATTGATATCGGAAAATTAGATCAAAAACAATCATGTAGTAAATACAATAATTGATAATAGCTATATTTAGGGGCACCAGTGAATCAATCACGACTGATAACGTGGGTATGACGTCACATTATCTATTATGTGGCTCATTTATTGATTCAGTAATCTCATGAGTCCTTTAATTATTTATTATCAAAAGATGTTTATTGAGCATCTTATATAGCACAAATATCTAACATATTAATTGAAGCTCAAACATTTTTATATAAAATAAAACATACGAACACAAACAAAAAAACTAGAACCCAACAATACAGAGTTTGTTGTGTAGATACAAACTTATTTATGTTGAAGTAGATGTGGATTGCAGGAAGTTTATGAATGGTTGCCAGATGTTCTGAAAGGATGAAATATTATCTTTTAATACATGTCTAATTCTTTCAAGGTGTAGTGTGTTTGAGAGGTCCCGTAGCCACATTTTAGCATTTGGCACGGTTGGTCCCTTCCAAGACATGAGTACTGTCTTTTTTGCTGTTATGAGAGAGTAAGAAATAAATCGACGTTGTGCTAGAGTGCGTCCTCGAAACGGCTGTGATGTTCCAAAAATGACTAGCAGAGGGTCTGGGAGCAATATAAGCTTAAGAGTTTTTGACAAAGTATTATATATTTCAGACCAATAAGTGGTAAGTTTAGGGCAGTTGAAGAAGACATTGAACAGGGTTGCATCGAGGACAGACATTTATCAGATGTTGATGATGTGTTTGGGAAAATATTATGGATTTTAACTTTGGAGTAATGCAGTCTGTGCATGATTTTAAATTGTATTTAACAGTGTCTGGCATTGTTGGAACAACTGTGTTTATATTCAAGAGCTTCTTCCCAGATATCATCAGGAATCTTAAGGCACATGTCTTTCTCCCAGCTTTCCTTATATTTATTGGAAGAGGGGCAGTTAATCATCAGTAACTTATTATAGATGTTGGAAATGAATTTATCTTTGCTTGCAGGCGTGTTCAAGCAGTCATCAATGATGGTCTGTGTTTCATTTTCAAAACTTATTGTGTATTTACGTCCATAATCCCTGACCTGTAGATACCTAAAGAAATTGTTGCCATGTAATTTAAATTTGGCCTGTAGTTGTGAAAATGTAGCAAAGTTACTATCAATATATAGGTCACGTATGTAGTGTATGTTATAAAGCCATAAATGGCTTGGCTCCTTCTTATCTCCAAGACACGTTAGTGTCACGTAAGTATTTTTTGACTGTAAATATTTGATGTGCTAAATTTTGTGCTTACTGCATTTTGAGCTATTATAAATAGATCCAGCACCCGGGAAGATATATGGATCATGGTGTTACCCATTCCCTGGGATGTCAGGCATGCTGCACAAAACATCTAACTAAGAGGCTTCATGTGCTGGTAAGGTGATAGTTCATCAATCGTTCTCATTCACTTATTTTTTAATAGACATAACCAAAAACCAATAACTTCTGTATGCTGGTGTCCCTAGCAGGTCCAAAAACAAATCTAGTGTGGATCAAGGACATTGTTAACCATTTTTGGTATGCCTGTTCATCATGCAAGCCGCCGATACCATTTCATGGTAGTAAAGTAGAACTAAGCCATTATCCTTCTCATATTCCCTCAACCTTATCATTTTCCTTATGTTTGCTGAATAGGACCTTTTGGCGAGGAGTACTGCACCATGTTGGTGGCGTGCATGAGTGGGCCCGACCTTGGGTAGATGCCCCCCAATTCATGGTCCTTTGGGCGATGATGGCAACTAAAGAGCCTGTCATCGCCTGCTTCTAAAGCACATGTGTCACTGGTCACAGACAAACGAGCTTAGAGCCAGTAACCTGGCTCTAAAGCACATCTTCACTTACCCAGATCGTGCTTTAGAGCCTGTATCGCCTGGCACTAAAGCACAAGTGGCACTGTCCAACAGATCGTGCTTTTTAAACTATAGTGATAGTAAAAGTAAAGTACACAGTCTAAGATTGATAAGTGAAAATAATAAAGTGAAATAAGTGAAGTATAAACAATCAGCATTAGAATAAAAGTATAGAGTAATAAAAGTGAAATTAGCTTTAAATTGAGACTCAGCTCGTTTTTGTCTGTGTTTTGACTGAATCTGCTGAGTTCTTGTGTGTCCAATAGTGTTTGTTTGTTTTTATTTTTTTGATTTGTTTTTGTTTGTTGTTTTTTTCCCAGGATAGAGGATAAAATCCACTGATATTGATTTGATGATTATGAGTTTAATGCATACATTTTCTTTGTTTTTAATAATTTTTTAAAGTTTTTTTTTAGGATTTTTTTTTTTTTTTTTTTCTTTTTCCACTTTATTGATTGATTAAATTGAATGATCACATGTGATTATGTGATCAAAGGGGAGGGTGTTAGTATTAGATAGCAATATGGCCTACGTGCAGGACTGTACAAGGACTCTACAAGGACTCCATGTTATGACTATGATGTGACTGTCTCTTTGTGACACGTATGTCTTTCGATGTGTGACGTGACAATGACTATATAAACTGTGTACTGCCTTTATTCTGTCTGGGAGAAAGAAACAGAGTAAACCAGTGGAACTTGAGAGAAACTTAAATAAACTTCCAGAGTTTGGCACACCACGATCCGTCTCTGTCTGCTTAAATCCTAACACTTCTAAAGCCTAAAGCTTCTTTAGGAATGCAACCTCTGCCTTGTTTTTGATGAATACTTACGCTTATTACGCTACTGTGTGGTGTTGGTCATTTGTGGTGTTACTTGGAGAGGCAAGTATTTTCTGAGGTGGTACTTGGTATAAAAAAGTTTGAGAACCACTGCCTTACAGGGAGTACCCCACTTTGAGAACCACTGACCTAAACTAAAACCCTTTCACAATTTGGACATATTGTTGACATAGCAACAAAAGGCTGGGTAATTGGATATGGCCGTCTCAAGCCTCAGTTTGAACACAGGACTCAGTCATTATACAGATCGATGGAGGCGCACAGAGTAGGCTCTTCAGCGTTTTATCTGATTACTGTCAGCCAGAATCAATATGGCCGCTGTGGTCATGTGGAAGAGGATCAGGTTTACGTTTGTCTATGCACGCACTCAGAAAAGCATTTCACACAACAACACTGGACGCATCATCACTTCGGAATACAACTACCCTAGATTAGTGTTATAACACAAATCTAGTTGTTACTTAAGATATTAGGCATAAACCGATTATATTTAAAAGAGGAAATTTAATGACACACTGTACATTACACTGTACATACACTGTACATTACACTGTACATACACTGTACATTCACTTCAACCATGTTGATGGGAGCTCACACCTGGTTGGCTATACACAACAAGACACAGCAGCATCTTAACCGGTTCGACAGGCTGATCAGGAAATTTGACTCTGTGATGGGGAGAAGTGTGGACTCTGTGGGAGATGTGCTGGAGAGAAGGGTGACTCTTTGCAGGGCATCCTGGGTAACTTTGCAGGGCATCCTGGGTAACTCCAGACTACATGACACTATGGCCGCTCAGGAGTAATCGAAGCAACAGGCTCCTATCAATGCGCTGCCAAACGGAACGTTTCAAGAGATTCTTTGTTCCTTCGGCTGTCAGACTGTACAACAAACCTGGATGCTGGACATCTGAATTTCTCCTACGGGGGATCAATATCTACATGATACATACAGAGTTAACAGAAAATTAACCACATATACGCACAAAGGTGCCATGTCTTCAGCTACATCATGTGTGGGATCAGAGGGAGGTTCCACACAGAGAGAGGCCCCGTTTAGACTGAGATTATGTGGAGACGCTGCAAAGCAATTTGCAAAAACGACCAGGCTCTGTATTTTAAGTGCAAAGCGTCTACACGGCCGAGGGAAACAAAGTTCTCGCGTCCGGCCAGTAGGGGGCAGTGGAACTTTACAACACGACACGCGCTGATCATAGACATATGAAGAGTAGACATCGCATTGGCTGCCGAGGAATGAAAAAGGGCGGCCGCCGTCTTGGACCGGTCTCCTACAGCACGATGCGGCGTATTGCTGTCAAAATAGGCTTACTATTCAAAACAGGGCTTGAGAAATACTTTTCACTGCATGAAAAGTGTGATTTTCGTCTCTTTTCGGCCCTGTATATTACTGTGAAACTTCTGGGATTCGGCAGTTTGTTGTCCCCTCCTCCCTCCTCCACAGGAGGCTTTAACATGTAAATGGAAATGCTGTGAGCTATACAAATGCTAATCAGGGTTGAGGGGGAGCACACCGTAGACCCGGATTTTGTAAATGCTCAAACACACACACACACACACACACATATTTGATCATGATTGATTATAGCTTGTCATGTCAAAATCAATTAAATAAATCTAATAGGACAAAAGACATGTTGAAAGTGTAAGTGCTCATCTCATGTATGTACAGTACAGACCAAAAGTTTGGATTTTTTATTTTTAGTTATAGTTACTAGTTACTTCTACCAAAAAGTAATTGACTCACTAACTGAGTTACTCCACTATAAAAGTAACTAGTTAGCAGTAAAAGTAACTATTGCGTTACTTTTTCGTTTGTCGTGGTACCGAGCTTTAGCTGGCTGTAATTTAGGATAACTTCTAAGTAGATTAATTGTTGCAACAACCCCACCCTATTTTAGTATGATATGTTAGTTTAGGGAACTGTCCTGCAGGCAAACAGGTATAAGACAGGCCAAGGTGCCATTTAATTAAATTGCATTTTTTTTATCCATTGATAAAACAAACAGATTACAAAACTTGCAATTGAAAGAGACTATTTTAAAATAATTAGTTCCCAAAGACACACACGAGCAACACTCGCGCCTGACAGTCAAGAACCAGGGAAAATACAGTACGCAGAGCGCGCCTGACAGACAAGAACCAGGGAAATTACAGTACGCAGAGCGCTGAGTATGTGAACGGAGCAATTGCTTGCTGCTGTTATTATAATAGCTAGATCCATGCTTGCAGCCCGTGCAAAGCTTGCACTCACTCACAGCCGCTAACAACAACCAGAGCGGCCACGGAGCAGGCCATCTCACACGCAGCATTCTGAGTGATATTCTTATGGATAAATGGGCGGGTATCTAAAAAAAATAACGCGTTAATAAAAAATGTAATTAACGTGAGTCAAAACGATAATTTTGACAGGTGCATTGCGTAAGTTAAAAAATGCCATAATGCAATATTTTGCATCTGTGGTCCATCAGCAGTTGCCTGGTGTGTAAACTGAGCATTAGCAGATTCACTGTGGTTGCTTCTGTGAGCGCATACAGTGATTGAGAAATCCCTCGGGTCGCTTTCTCGTGCGCTGTTTAAGCGGAAGTGACGCAATGCGCGTGCCCGTTCACTGTTTTGGCTCCATATGTTCCCTCGCGTTCAGTGGATCTGTCCCGTCCTCGTATCACGCGTATTTGAAGATGGATCCAGCAGTTTCTCTAAGAGACCAGCTTCAGAATCACCGTCTGGAACTCCACGCCAAGCGAAGAGAAAAAAGATTGTCACCAGTGCTACGAAAAGAGCGAAGCGAGAGGCCGACCGGCGGAGAGCTCAGACCCGAGTCGCTCTCGGCCATGCGTTTGAGAAATGGAGAAGTCTCCGAAACGCTCTGGGGATAAAAAATGATCCTCATTTGGCGTTTATCTTGATTAGAAGGTAAGACGGTGACTCAGTTCTAAACGTCCTAGTGTCTTGCACGAATACGAAGAGATATAGCATTATTGTGTGTTAGCTTTTTGACTTAGCAACATGGACTGATTCCATTTGGTTCGGTTTTTTTCTGAACAGTAACAGATTGGCGAGACACATTCAGCATTTTTTTGTTCTGTATAAAGAATGTCTAGAAATAATGACTGTTACGTTGATTAGTGCTTTTGAATGAACGTTAGCATCTGTTAGCTTAGTACAGCTGTGTACATTATTGGGCTGCTACTGTGCACGTAAACCATTATGAAACTTGCAGATGCAGTGATATATGTACCTCAGTACCTGTACTATATGTATCGTAGAATTGCAGACTATATTAGTAATATAATGTGGTTAGTCCAACTGTAATACAATGAGATGCATGTGTGTATAGGTAACGTGTATTTATTTACTTTATAGCTATGAAAAAATTATGGCATCAAGGAGTCCCAAGGCCTCAACTCCTAAAACCACTACTGCGACTGGTGATCTCCCGAGTTCAATCAGTCCCGTAGAATCTGACCGGTACTTTTTTTTCCCAGAAAAATGGGATTGGCATTATGTTTGATTCAAGCCTTATTGACAATTTCACTGAAACAAACTGTATTTTTTAACAGGGATGACTTATCTGTGGCAGGGGTGCAGCCTTTTATAGAGGAGAAAGAGCTGGAGGTTTTGGAGAAAAGGTAGACATGCATTCACATTAAGATGTACATTGTATTCTCATTTCTAGGTCGTTTATTTATATGATTTATTGTTTTTTGTAGACATTCAGATCTTTGGTTAAACGAAAAACGGGCAAACAATCTAGAAGACAGTGTGTAAGTTACTTAACATGTTTAAAAAGAAATATTTTGTTGATTGTTTTAAAATATGACCTGTTTACTTTCACAGGATTGAGTTTGATGAAGATTTGGCCTCAGATCCATTAGATTCGGAATATGTCCCACCTATATCTTTGAGGTTTTTTTTATTAAATGTTCTGTCCTGAAATAATGGAAGTCCTTCCCTAATTGTTTTTTGAAAAAGCATCAAATTGTTCTTTTTTTCAGTGCTGGTGTTGCAATTCAAAGAGAAGTTGACAATCTTCCCATCCTCGGCATAGAAGAAGCTGTGTTGGACATCTGTGACCCAGAAAATCCCGGAGAACCAGAGGACTTTGAGGATCAGTCTGAGCAGGACATATCAACATTCCCAAAGCCAATTCGTGTGGTTGCTGAAACTGACCTAGTGCACCAACAAGCATGCATAGCGTATACTATTAGCTTGCTGCAAATGGCTAATTTTCTGCAACTGCCCATCAACAAATGCCATTACAGCGATCCGGTTTCTGGTATTGAGTGTGACGGTCGGCCTCCATTTTTGGTTCAATCACGTTCTAGGGGCACATCAATCATATTGGAATGGGTGAGTGAATGCTGAAATTAGAGATTGGTATTTAGGGTAGGCAAAATGTGTAGTTATACATTTAGTAAAAGTTATTTGTTTCTTTCTCCATAGTTCTGCTCTTATGGACACAAGTTATGGATGTGGAACAGTCAACCTGTACTTCAACATGGGATGCAAGGAGGCGATTTTATGTTATCTGCCAACTTATTACTGAGTGGTAATAATTTTGCTAAGATTGCCCTCCTCTTCAAATGTATGAATATGAAGATGGTTTCAACGACAACTTATTACAAAATTCAACACTCCTACTACGTACCTGAAATAAAGGCATTTTGGGAGCAGAAGAGGTTGTCTATTGTAACTCGATTAAAGTCAAAAGATGGCATTGTGGCCCTTGGTAAGTAATGTGTTAAAGGACAATCTTTGTCGTATTTGCAGTCACTATAAGTACTATATCTGTTACAGCTGACGGGAGAATGGACTCACCAGGTAAGTCTGAAGCCTTTCACTTCATAACATAGTTATTGTGTATTACTTTGTGTTTCACCATATTTGATTCAACAAGGTCATTCTGCAACGTTTTGCACATACACAACGATGGAACTTGACACAATGGACATTATCAGTGTTGTCAATGTTGATAAAAGGCAAGTTGGTGGAAAAAGTGTCTCTATGGAGAAGGCAGCGTTCATCAAAACATTTGATGATCTCACAAAAGAATTAAAAGTCAAAGAGATTGTGACTGACGCCCATGTGCAAATTGCAGCCCTCATGCGTAAGTATTTTTGTCTGTATTATTTGATGTGCTATATTTTGTGCTTACTGCATTTTTGAGCTTTATAATAGATCCAGAACGGGGAAGATATATGGATCATGGAGTTACCCATTCCCTGGATGTCTGGCATGCTGCAAAAAATCTAACTAAGAGGCTTCATGCTGTAAGTGATAGTTCATATCGTTTCTCATTCAATTATTTTTTATAGACATAACCAAAACGAATAACTTTGATATGCGGGTGTCCTAGCAGGTCAAAAACAAATCCTTGGGTGGATCAAGGACATTGTTAACCATTTTTGGTATGCCTGTCAGCATGCAAGCAGCCGAGAAGAGTTCATGGTAAGTAAAGTAGAACTAGAATTTATCTTCTCATTTTCACTATACCTTTTCAGTTTCTTATGTTTGCTTATTAGGACATTTGGCGAGGTGTACTGCACCATGTTAATGGCGTGCATGAGTGGGACCTGGGTAGATGCCTTCATGGTCCTTTGGGAGATGATGATGAGCCTGTATCGCCTGGCTCTAAAGCACATGTGGCACTGTCACAGATCGTGCTGAACCGCAGATGGCTGAAGGATGTGGAGAAGTTCCTCACATTTCGGTAAGAGATCAGTTTTTGTTTTTTTGAATGATTTGTGTTTCTTCTATTTCCTACTTACTTTCCCTGCAGGACCACCTCACAGCTGGAATCATTCCAAAACCATATTCTGATGTATGCCGGAAAGCGGTTTGCTTTTTCATTTTTTGTTTATGAAGCAAGAACACTTCTCGCAGCTTTGGACTACAATCACCACAACAGCCGTCCGGCACATGTGAACAGCAAAGGCCAAGTGTCGTAAGTATCATTCACTACTTCCTATTGACAAGTCATAAATATAGTTGTCTTCTAACGTGAAATTACTTATCTTGTAGCCTAAAGAGACTGTACAGCAAAAAATCGAAACGGTATCGGGTACACACTGTCAAAGAAGCAAAGGATTACAACTACATTCCTGACCTTCAGACACAAATCATTGGCAGACTACTTCAGTCTGCTGGTGGCCTCCCAACCAGACGGAGTATCATACCGGAGGACCCACGAGCACTTTGACCAGTATATACACAAACGGTTGTTGGTGTTATCATCACTCTCTTTACACAACCAAAACATGGGGACTTCACAAACTGAATGCCCATTTCGCGCATGCGCAAAACGCAACGAAATACTTTGCCTCAAGTCGACGGTGCGGTCTGGAACGTGAAGAGAGGACTCTTTTGAATGTACGGTAAGTGTTAAGACACGTTGTTCATTGTTATAAAGGTATAAAGCTAAAGAAGTGTGTTAAGAACGAGTATACATTCGACTATATTGTCTTATAAAACTCGTGTGTTCGACCAGCTCAGCGGTGAATGCAGTGACTGTGGCCGTGTTCAGAGCCGCTCTCCCGGAGGCCTGAGAGCGCTCTGTCCGGCCTCCGGGAGTTTACTGAGGACAGCGGTGAATGTAGCTGTTAGTAGCTAACTGTAGCCATGTTCAGAGCCATATTCCCGGCCCTAACTACGCGGGCCGCCGCCGCTAGGAAGCTAGGAATCACATATATATGTGATATATATATCACATATATATGTGATTGCTCCGTGTGTGATAACTTTCTGTAAAGCATGGAACTGCTGCAGGAGCAGGGACGAGGCGCACAGAGCAGACTGCTTCGAAAGAACCGAAGGAAAAGCAGTTTGGGCTCATGGCAGAGCCTGATATACGCGGAGACTGTGGACTACAGTTCTGTGGAATATCTAACATATATCATTTGTTTTGCACTGTTCCTGTCTTTGTTTGAGCGCTAAGACTTTCACTTTTATTACTGTACTTTTTCATCTCATTTGTCACTGTTGTCTTTCTGTTCATTTTTTTTGTTTTTTTTATTAAGTCCATTGCTTAATAATGTTATTGAGTGAATCTAGACCTCCTTTAAACACATTTGAGCAAAAATCATGTGATATTGTTTTATATATATTGATTATTCTTTTTTTGCTTACAGCGTGTTGCAGTCCGACAACAAGAAATAGTCAATTCTGCCCTACCTGTGGAAAATGTCAAAGCGCGCTGGCCAGCACTTCATACAGAGAGACAGGTGTGTACATATTTTTTACATCTATGCATTTAACTTGAAGTGTTTTATGTTGTTTTTTTTGCAGGTCCTGGCAGAATTTAACCAGATCACCAGCTCCAAACTGGGCAATGATTTCGTTGAAGCATTGGATTGCCTAACGACACAGTTCATCAAGCTCTTTAAGGCCAAAAGGGGGGCTGCTGGCGCTAAGCTTTCCAAGATTGTCCGGCACCTCGATTCCTGTGTAAGTTCATAAAGCAATAACAAAAAGAAATGACATATGATTGTGTTTGGTGTTGAAATGCACATATGTACAGCAGAGGAGATGGAGAAAGGAGAAAGGTACACAGCAAAAGAGGTACTGCTGCATTTTGTATCCTAAGATTTTTGGTACAATTGTAGATTGTCATTTTACATTTTCCATGTGTTTGTAGATTGTGGAACTGCAGGAAAACCCTGGTGACCGAGAGATCCTTAAAGATTATAATTCTGTGAGATCACTGTGAGATCTCCGCTCTCGAAGACAACTTGTCGACCTTCTCGTCAGTGACATGAGTGAAACACATGGGTATGTTGTATCCCTCAGTTAATACTCAAAAGTTCCTTCTTACAAGTGGAAGGATATTTACTCAAAATAAAATGAAAATCACTTGAAAGACCTTTCACAATAATCACATAACAATTCAGTTTCTCTCACCACTGTTATTGATTGTAAGATAAATAGTACTGATCTCTTTTATAAATGACCTAGGTAGATGTTCTCCTGTAGATTATCTCTTGGTTAGGTCCCTGTGAAAATATGTACTTGTAGATACTATTAATTTAGCCTTTTTATGTAACCATGAAGTCCTTTGACCATGAGTGTTTTTTTCTCCTTAGACAAATGCCTTCCTGAAAACAAAAAAAGCTATGCTCTTAGAATTATCACACTTTTTTCATTGAAGGATCCATTTTCTCAAAAAGGTTATGTAAGTATTGTTAATGTATCCATGGAAATTGAATTTGGTTTACCTACACGTTTTGTGTCGGTAATGGATATGTATAGATAACAATCATAACTGTACACTTTGTTTTCAGACTAATCTAGCCTCGTAATGAGACGGTGACCTCCTATTTGCTTAACACAATATCTGCAATACAATGTGAACAATAAGTCCACATTTCCACGATGTTGATAAAGACGACATTGTGTGTAAGTGTTTTACTGTTTCTCCCTTTTAACCTGGTTTTAAACATTGTCAGAGAGGAGCTGTCACTTTAGCTGTGCTACAACTGAGGTATTTTATATTTATCTTTGTTAATGTACTGGGATTATTTATTTTAATGCTTTCTTATTTTGCTCAGCACTTCGAGTTGCATTGTGTATGAATTGTGCTAGACAAATAAACTTGCCTTACCATCGTACTTCCTGGTTCTGGTCAGGACTTGAGCTGCTGCATTTTGAATGTACTGCAGCTGTTGTTACAGTAGTCTAACCTACTGGAGACAAATGCATGGATAAGAATCTCCAGGTCTGCTTTAGACACTATGTTTAGATGGGGAAAAAGGATTTGATTTGGCTAATAATATTTACTGATTCTTTCAGCCGCTGGAATCGAGACTGAGTGTGCTAGAAAGTGACAAAGTGGAACTCTGGAAGTCCGCCACGGTAGACCTAATGTCCAATGAAGAAGAAGGCGTTGTGGACGGTGTCTCTGGATGGATTGTGCGGTCGCAGTCTTTTCGAAAGCCGGAGTTTTCTGAACTCTGTCAAGCTGCAGTCCCGGTTAGAGGCGGCGCGGAAGTACAGAGCCACGCACATTAAGCGTCTATCTAGAACCCTGCCAAATTACAACCCCGAGGAGGCTATTGGACAGTTCAGAGTTGTAATTTTTTAATTACCTATGTGTGAGCATAAAGCTGTGTGTGTGTGTGTGTGTGTGTGTGTTTTAATAAAGCTTTCTTTGTATGAACATATTCCTGGAAAATTTTCATTTCTTCTATAAATAATACGAATATTTATATAAATATTATTACATTAATTATGAGGCAGGGTGACCAATAGTGACAGATCTGCTAGCCAATCACGAGAGATTATACTTATTTGAAAGTAGTGATTTCATCCAATGGGGAGTAAGCTACCAATGGGGAGTAATCCCACGTGGGCTGGCCACGTGTGATTTTTCAGCCAATCACGAGTTTGAAAGTAGTGGTATTCACCAATGCTGAATAGCAGCCTGGCCAGCCGCTGCATTCATATGCTAATTAGGGCCATTAGCGCTCGGCGGCCGCAGTGTTTCGCTGCATTCATATGCAAAGTAGGGACATTAGCATGGTACGGATACGGCAGTTTGGAGGACAGGGCACCCTAACTGCGCCTTCTGAAAACTGCCTGAGATACCCGAAAAAGAGCGTGATTTCCTGCAGTTTAGGGTGACGAAAATCTAACTTTTCATGCAGTGTTTCACCAGTAAGTTTGAACAATATTTTAATCACAACTTCAGCAGCTTGGGTTCATCATCAAAATAAGAGTTTTGCTGAAAAAAGGTACAAAAAAACATTTGAAGGAGGTAAATAAGAATAATGAAATGAATAGAAATGAAATGAAAATGAAAGGAAATAGAAAAATAGGAAGAGGAAGGTGGAAAATTATATATAAATTAGGGCTGTCAAACGATAAAAAAATTTAATCGAGTTAACACTAGCACTCCCATGGAGGTGCCATTTGGCACTTATACCTATCATCCCCTCCACGGTGCCAAATGACCCCAAGGATTTTAGCTAACAAACAAAATCACCTGTGAACGGCCAACTTTGTTATGTAAATAGGGCCGTTATCACAGGCTGAGCTGAAGTTGCTTCACTTTGCCATCTTAGGGGGAGGGGGAGGATCTGAATAGTTCCTCCACAACACTGAGTCATTGGTGCACATCATTGCAGCTCTCAGGTGAATTACAGCTTTCACTCATGAAGAGGTGTGTTATATTGTTTACATTGATCAGAGTTCTACCACAACGCTTTTTTGTATGTTTGTTCTATATAAAGAGACATTAGTTACTGTATTATTGCATATGCAGTACATATGTGAAATACACACCACTTTACTTTGCCATCTTAGGGAGAGGTCAACATACAGTTTTTTTTTGGTTAGTGAGATTTATTGATTTTAAATGCTACAAAATAAGAAAACTGCAGATAATCACAAAATATATACAGTATATGCATCATCAGGCTCCACAGTCCTTGCACTGCCATGGCATCTCTCTTCTGCATTGTCCACATGTGTATCTGTAGCAGTCGACATGTGAGATTTCATAACACTTTGAAGCAACTTTTGCTAAGGTTAAACTCATCATTCTATCAATGTGCAGAAGCCAGTACTTTTCCCTTGTTTTGTCTATCTGAAGGCCAAGCTACATGGCACCGTGGCAGCTGCTGATTGGAGGTCTCCATGCCTCCGATCTGTATAATACACTTGCATTCTGTTGTATCTGTTGATCGTGCTGTCTCTACCATTGACAATAAAACATGTCTTCTGTCTGAATTTATGGCACGATCCCAGACATGTCATCTTCTTCAGGTGGTGGAAGGATGCGGGCCTTGTCTGTAACATCTAGAGAACAGAAGACTTTTTTTTTTTTTACACAAAAACTGTTTTTTTTTTAAGCCAAAACTGAGAAACCTCAAGAGAAACCATGCATCTGGACCAGCACACTTGGACAATCTGCACAGCCCCTGATTCCAGTCAGGCTGTGAGCTGCTGAGAAATGGACAAGACCATCGTCCTCTTTTGCATGGACACCATTTGGAAAAATTGGATTACACAATTTGGACATCATTTGGAACAATCTGGATTTCTGAATTTGGACATAATTTGGACTGAATTGGATTGCTGAATCTGGACACTGAAGCTGAAACGTGTGATTGAAAGACACGTCACAGAAGAATTCATGGCTCGACACAACAAATGCAGCCTGAAGAATCCAACACGGAGAAGTGGGAGAGACTGTTTTCAAAGCAATATCTGGAACCACCATCGACTGATGAAGTTTAGTATTTTACTGAAGATTGTTGACAAGTTTTATGAAAGATCTGAACATGTTTTATGAGTTTTATGAGTTTTTGAAGTATTCCGAGTGAAGTACCGAGTTTAAGTATTGAGTTATGATGTTATGTTGCTGTTTATCGATCCTGATGGTCACACGTGAATGTATGACCAGAGGGGGGAATGTGAGATTTCATAACACTTTGAAGCAACTTTTGTTAAGGTTAAACTCATCATTCTATCAATGTGCAGAAGCCAGCTACATGGCACCGTGGCAGCTGCTGATTGGAGGTCTCCATGCCTCCGATCTGTATAATACACTTGCATTCTGTTGTATCTGTTGATCGTGCTGTCTCTACCATTGACAATAAAACATGTCTTCTGTCTGAATTTATGACACGATCCCAGACTTGGCTCATCTTCTTCAGACACATCGCACAGAGGCATGATTCTTCTTGCACTGATGTTTCACCTGACTCAGGGGTCTTTTTCCAGGGCTTGGTGTGGAGGGTTGTTTTCAAAGCATTTCTTCCTTTTGTGCCTTCTTTGCACCAACGTGAGAGTGAGCCAATTCCCTTGCAAGCGCCACCAGAAAGGCCACCCGTCTCTCCTGCTTCCCGGTACATGCTTGATAAAGAACATGTGCGTTCAATGCTGCCATATCAATCATATTATAGAACACAGCGACTGGCCAGCGCCGTGTTCCTGAGCGGACACTGTACTCCCGCACCATCTGGTCCATAATATCCACGCCGCACTTTGTGGTATTGTAGAGGGTGACCGTGTTTGGCTTCCTTTTGGTGGTATCGTCCGTCTGAACGAGGTTGTGCATGCTGCTGAGAATGTAGACAGCCTTCTTCCGTTTGGGAGTGTAAACTGTGAGAGTCGCACCCGTGGTCGAAAACAACTGAGTGGTGAATTCATTACGGTCCATTCGTCTTGTAGATGGAGGAATTTCCCGGCGAATCTTGTTGACTGTGCCGAGGATGGTGGTTTTTCGTTCAAGCAGTCGTTTTGCAAGTGATAGCGATGTAAAGAAATTGTCCGTACATTTCTGCCCTTGTCCAGGAATGGTTCCATCAGCCTCATCACAACAGTTTCCGACAGTCTCTCACCGCTGGGACGACTCCTTGCCAAGATATGGGAAGACATTGCAAATGTACTTGGATTTCAAGTCGCAGGCCACCCAAAACTTGATCCCAAACTTGTCAGGTTTAGTAGCGCTGCTACTAAACCTGTAGCAGCGCTACAGGTTTAGTAGTGCTGCTGTTTCAAAGACCCGAAACAGCAGCGGGTCTTTTATGGGAAAAGCTGTTCATCAATGGTGATGTGTTAGTGCATTTCTCAGAACAATTAGTACAAACTGCAAAACCTTGGGGATAACCTGCAAAAGTGCATCACCTTCTCAAAATGAAAAGTTTATTCCTCAAAAGCAAGTCTTCATGTCGAGGAAACTGTCTGTCTCAAAATAATAAGTCTTAACAACATGGAGTATGAACAACACAGCCAAAAGACTTCGTCACGTTTTCATTGTGACACTTTACTCTCTGTGTTTTCAAAGCAAAAAATCAGATCTTGGTGAGCACTGTACAGCTGAAAACTACAGTAAAGTTACACACAACTGTATTTAGTGAGAGTAAAAGAACATTTATACTGTATGTACTGTATGTGTGTGTGTGTTTGTGCATGTATGTATTTACTGTGTGTGTGTGTTTGTGCATGTATGTGTTTCGATGTATGTCTGTGTACTGTATGTCTTTCACATATTTACTGCATATGCTCTTTGCAATTCTACAGCATTGTGCAACAGAAATACAGTCACATACATAGAGCAAACATACAGAATATCATTATGGTAGAACTGTGACAAATGTAAACAATAAAACACACACCTCGTCATGAGTGAAGCTGAAATTCGAAATTAGGAAAGATTTTCTGGATATAAAAAGATAAAGTAATGTATGAAATTAGTTTGACAGATTTTGGTTTTGAACAGTTTTGTATGTGATGACCAAAGCAATGAAATGAGGACTACTGGTTTTACAGAAACTATTCAGTCGTGATAAGTATGTTTCATTCTGATTGACAGGACAGAAGCAAATGATGTTATAAAACAGCAGAGAACTGTATGAAAGTAACTGATACATGTCCAAAAGCATTTGTAAAGTGTTCAAAGGAGAAACTGCCGTGATGATGTCACACACGACTCAATGTTGTGGAGGTTCCACCGTAATGATTTTTTGTATATTTTTCTACGTAAATACTGTATGTGTACTATTTTTGTTGCAGAATGCTGTAGAATTGCAAAGAGCATAAGCAGTAAATATGTGAACATACAGTACATCCATATGTATCACTAAATACACAATGAAAACATGACTAAATCATTTGACTGTTATTAAACACTGATGTCAGGACTTATTCTTTTGAGACACAGACAGTTTCATTGACATGAAGACTTTCTTTTGAAGAATTAAGTTCATTTTGAGAAAAGAAGAAAGTGACTTTTTAGCAGGTTAGCCATGAGGTTTTGCAGTTTGCACTCATTATTCTGAGAAATGCAATAACTGTTGTTAAAATGTGAAGAATTATGTGAAAAATGCACCAAAGACACTGAGAAAAACTGATTAGAAAATATATACAGCGCATTCTCAGGGTACACAGCACTGCCATGGCATCTACTACTACAGTAGTCTGTGGTCTCACAGACTACTGTAGTACTCTCTTGCAGCTCTCCCTCCCCCGCACGAATAAACAAAGCCCACCCCAGCCCCCTGCTGTTATAAGTCATTACCTACATTTGCAAATCAATACATGCAAATGTTAGCAGCCAACCTAGCAAGTTAGCTCCTTCTTCTCAAAACAGGGGCCAATTTCGGTTGGGTTTTCTAGATCTACATCTTAAAAATTAGCTATCGTAATTAATCACATTTTGAACTAACGGAAAAATTATGACAATTTTTTCTGTAAATGGTCGTCTACCTCTGGCTGTAACTGCAGACACAGCAGAAAAACAGCCCAAAAGACGCTAAAGCTTATAACATTTAATAAATAGGTGGAACTCTTTGGCTGGTTAAGGACTTAATGCATTCTTGTTAGTAATAAAAAGTTTTAAAAAGACAAATAATGTAACATACATTATTTATGTATGTTACAGTAAAGACCATTTACTGTAAAAGCAAATAAAAAAACAAAAACATATGTATTCATTATGGTCATTATTTACATTGTCTGAGAGTTTAGTGCGTATATTTACAGCCTATGGCATGTACATGGCTTCAGTAAAAGCTATTGTTCGAATCTGGGAATATGACACTACTTTACCAAACTTCTGCCATAATGATGCTGCGGGCACGGCGCACGCTGGCGATTGTCAACATTAAACCAATGTGATCAAGCCTACGCCCCTTTGACACTGATTGGCCGAAAGGAAGACGCTTGTGATTACTGTGTCTGTGTGTGTGTATGACACGCAGTGAGTGAGTGATGCATTTAAGGTGGCTCTGAAAATACAGGACAAAAGCCGCCCCGTATCGATTCAATACAGGACGCACATAGTTTTTCTATAATACGGGACAATTTCGTATTTCAAGGGACGTTGGCAACCCTATGTACAGCTTATAAGAAGTTGTGCTAATGCTAACTAATGCCTACCTGCTCTGTCGCCATCTCACACGCATGTGTCCCTTATAGATCCATGATGTGTCCGCGTCACATGTGTTATTATATTTTTAACGCAATTAATGAAAAAAAAATATTATATATTAGGGCTGTCAAAATTATCGCTTTAAGTTAGCGAGTGCGCTTCGGGAGAAGACACGGAGGAGACTGAGTGCTGGACTCCACCGGCCTCGTCTCCGTTTACGCGTGTAGGCTGCTGCCCGTCATGACGTCTGAAATAGGGACTGGTTACCTAACCTTGCCTGCAAGCTGAATACTCGCGGTATTTTTGAGTTCACAAACACTTGAGAATACATCTTGTCCCGCTCCCGCCAACCCTTTTCGAGTAGAACATCTAGGTGTTCAAGCCAATCACGCGCCAGTCTGGGGGTTTAGGGCGGGATATCCGGGTTTGACGAAAGCAAGAGGTGCCGGGCCGAAGCAAAACAAACATGGCTACGCAGGAGGACGGACGCGTAGCTTAGGTTATCAAGTCAGTTTTAGCAGAATCTCCAATTTCTTTTTTGAAAGATGAACAGCGAGAGGCGCTTTGTGCATTTCTGGACGGCAAATAATGTTACCGGGATTGGTTTAAGTCAAACCTTGGTAGGCGGGAACACAGTGTCACTTCGCCCAATCAGCTTGAAGTATTCTGCTGCTTATCCCTCCTTTCCCCGAAAGGATTCTCCTGCAGAAGTCCCAGATTGATATTGTGGAGAACGCATTAGAGTTCTACACAATCATCAATTTGGCTCTTGCCAGGTTACTGGTTACCCACACAGGTGGCTAACCTGTCTTCAACAACATAAGACATGACAAAGACGTAACAAAGACCACTTGATTTAGAGAGATTTTGGCAGACCTCTAAAAGCTCAAAATTTAGCTAGTATCCAATTATGCAGACTTTACATATAAAAAAGGTGTCTGCTTACGTTTTTTTCTTTGTCCGGACTGTCCGAGAGGTCGACCAACTTCTTTTCCGCGTGGAAAAATTAAATTCAAACGCAAAACAGAAAGTCAGGGAGCAAGAAGCATCTGGGACGCAGCTCTCCCAGCCTGCTGGGATTTCTCCGCTCCCAGATACAGCATTTTGCTCTCCCATGCCAAAAAAAAAAAGAGGGTGGGTTGGGGTTATTTCATGGGAATGGCTGGTTAAGTTTAGGCATGAATAGGCAGTTTGTTATATTTACTTCCGCTTCCGTCCCGATTCCGTATATGATCTAGTGCTGACCCACATAGCATTAGTTGGCGCCATTGTTGTAAACGTTTGTTAACATGATATCTGGTCGATACCATAAGCTTTTACTCGTACTCATTCCATAGGACCCGATGCTGGCAAAAATTATCCACATTTTTAATTTACATAAGCGTCACAACAGCAGACAGCTGTGGCAAAACTCAGGCAAGCGGACAGTATGTCGGCCGTATGGCAGTTTTTAAAGTAAGCGAGTGGCAAGAGTAAAGCGGACTGCGTTGTGCAAAACTTTCAAAAGGTGGGTCTAAAACAAATACGTATAACACCTGCAACTTAATCAAACATCTGAAAACTCACCACCACATGGACTAACTCACCTTTGCTAGCACGGGAGCACAAAAACAAAAAAAGTCTACAGCATAGCATTTGTATGAGTGGATTATGACAGTGGCTCTTATTGGAACAATTGCGAAAATCTTGTTTCTATTAAATTTCTCTAGGCTTCAACAATGGCATGTATCTGAAATCAGCCCAGCGACAAGCCTGAAGGACTTGAAACTTCAGATTTAAGAAGATTTATTTGCATAACACACATACACATAACACAAACTGTAGCTCATGTGCATAGCCCTTTAAATGCGCTCCTGAAGCAAGGTCTATACATCTATACATCCCTACAATTTCTTAAATTATTATAGTTCATTAATTTCTGTTATTGCCTATAGTAGTTCACCATCTCTTTCTGAAACCTCTGCCCCAGGAGAGTGCCCTAAATCCCAATCTATACAGTTAGAGACACATCACAAAGTCTACTGGAAATATAGCGTCCTTTATAACTCAAAATACTACAAACACCCAAGGCCAGCCTCATGTGGCATTTGTCTTCCGCAGTCCCCTGTCCGCTGCCCACAAGGCCTCCATGAAAAATAGATAATGCTAATTCCTTCCACAATACAGCTCATTTTTCACGCTCGCTTCAGCAAGGCACTGATTTATCACGTCTGCCATTGCTGATGTGTGCTGCTCGGGATATTGGCCACTCCGCAGGCCGCTGATAATAACATTTGATTAGAAATAAA